CTTTCCCTCATTCCTCGGCTCCGGCTTCGGGGCTCTTCAGGTTTTGCAGCAAGAGCGTCAACATCTCGACCAAGCAACAACAAAAAAAATAAAAAGGGATGACAGGAGCCAAGAACCATTGGCAGTCATAGGAAAGAGTCAGTTTGAGCACATGCTCATTTTTTGCGTTCTTTTTTCATCATCCTAGTTAAAAATAGAGGTTTTGTGGTGGTTTGTTGTGGTGGTTTGTTGGTTTTTTTTTCAGAATAAAGTAGAAAAAAGAATAAAAAATGAGGCATGCATACCAATGAGCACGTTTCATCAGCACGTCTCTGTGACAAAGCCAAATCCCCGCAAAGCTGCCGTTTGCTTTTAGTGTTCCAGCAGCAGCTCATTTCGGAGTTTGCTGAACTCGAGATTGTATCAACTTTTCACTGTTCTTTCTTCACAGATTTCTGCCGTTCTTCCGTTAATGCTAAATAAATAAAAAAGGGGGGGGAATGGGGAAGCATTTTTTTTACTGGGAAAGGATGGAGGATTATGTATGCAAACACGTCTGAAAAAATGTTCTTCTGCCACACTTTTAAATAGCATGAAAACGTATCTTGGCGCCCGGTTGTTGTTCTAAAAAAAAAAAAAGTGTGACTCGCTGTAGCTCCCATCCGAATCAACACAATTTTTCCTGCCGACTGTTTTTATCAGGTTCGGCTCCCGTCAACTATTAAAGAAAATAAACAAAATTAAAAATGTGGGAAACTGGGGCTTCCCAATTTACTTTTATCAGCTCGAAGCATTCCCAATTAAGGCATTCCTTTAGCTTAAGCTTCTCTTTTTATTATGCTCCCTATTCTGCGGTACTCGCTGGGATACATTTGCCAGCCCGGATCTCGCTGAAAATGGAAAATATGACAGAAAACCCTACAAATTCCTTTTCCTGCCCGGGTGACGTCAGCGCTCATGCCCGGCACGGCTCACGTGACAAGGAAAACCTAAGGAACATGGAGCCCCCGCTCCTGCCCCAAATTCCCGGGGGGCCCCTCAGGGGGCTCGGGGGGTTCCCCGCGGGGCGGGAGCGGGTGTGCGGAGCCCGCGGGACCCCGCACCGCACCCCAAGGGCTCCGTGCGGTCACGCCGTGCCCTCCCGCACGCCGAAACGCTCCCGTTGAAACTTCCTCCAGGAGAAATGGCCACCTCGGTGTGGCTGGTGGGGCGAAACAAACCAAAGTGCCTCTCTCCTCCAGGTGAGAGAGCTGGGCTAAAGCAGCAGCCCCGAGGGACGGGGGGGGGGGGGTGGTTGGGGGGGGGGGGGGGCCCGGGGCCTGCCACTCTGGGGGGGGGAACTCTGGTCCAACGAGGTGTGGTGAGCCCTGGGGAGGGGTGGGAA